CCTGCAGGCCCTTAAAGAAGGTGCACAAGTCCCAAAAATTACCGTAGAAAGTGTTTGGATCCTCCGAGGTCGTGATCTTCTTGCGCTCAGCTCGGCAACTGCGGGCGTGATTTGTGCCATAGAGGCTCAGGGTTTGGTACAGGTAGTGACTTCTGACTAATTAATTAACAACTTCCAGCCTTAAGTGTCATTATTAAGAATGCGACTCTCTGCTCTGAACAAGTTGGAGAAGGACTAAATGTTGGAATCAAGCAAGGAGAGCCGCTAGTGAGAGTTTTGGTCAATACGGCCAACTTGGAAGATATGGACAAGCTTAAAGAGGATCTCAAAATGCTGGCTGTGCTAGATCCAAGCCTTAGGATATGTTTCTCCAGCAAATCTTTCCGCAGAACATTAAATTATCTTCACTGCTTTCAGGTTTTAGAGCTGGATAGTGGAGAGCTGGCCATGATGACTGCTGGTGAGGTACATTTGCAGAAATGTTTGAAGGATCTTGAAGATCTTGGATTCAGCGATTTGGAAGTAGGCAAATCACTTTGGGCTGTTAGTACACTTCTGTTCTTTAAAGGGTTTTTTTGGTTTCTAGGTTTCGAAGCCAATCGTACCATTCTTGGAGACAATTGTGCCAGATCCATCGTTAACAAGTGCTCAAATACAAGAACAGACCACTGTAGGTTACCTCAGCATGATATTAAATTGTTTTCAGCCGTTAAGGGAACTTGTAAAACTTTACATGAGGCATTTACCAGAAATAAGAAGTACCTAGTTGCGTACGATTTTCTTTCGTTGCAATGATAAAGTAACATTAATTGATTTTGATTTCTAGTAGCTCTTATATAATGTTTTGTTTCATATTGTGTCATATTTCTCGTATATTTATTCTTAAAAAAGAAGAAGTAATTTATGCTTTCCATAGGCGATGCTAATTGCTAATACTAAATTGTCCTTCATGATGTTTAGGAATGTCATCTCAAAAGTGATTCTCTCTACATTCGCCTAAGGGTTGCTCCACTTCCAGATGAAGTGGTATCTTTGCTTGAACAATCAGCAGATACATTGCAAGTCATACGAAGAGGACATGTGGATGAAGCGACATTGGCAAGCTTTAGGTAAACCACAACAACAATGTATACTTTCATTATAGAATTTTCAACAAGCTGAAATGATTCGTTTATTGTTAGGTCAAAGCTAATGGATGTTTGTAATGAACATCTTCATTCATGCCGAGGGTCTTGGTGGCATAGAAAAAGCAAAGAGGA